TAAACAACAGACACTAGGTAACTAACGTTAGGAAAATGTAGATTTTTGTACCTGTACACTGGTGTGTAGGTGGGTGTGGTAGCCTTTAGAGAATGGAGTGCTGCTGGTGATGGAGAAATATGTGAATTAACGTTAGCACTAGCAGAGGTGTTCAGCTCCTTGAGCGTGGAATATGCAGGGATGTTTCATTCATACTCGAAGCCGGAGGGCGCTCTCACGCAGAAAGCTCAAAATGGACTCATAGAAGTAACGTGACATGCCAGGAAAACCCTAATATGGACAAAGGCATATGTAACGGCATCCAGCGATCTCTGCTGTAGCTAAGGGGATGTTCGCAAACTTATCTTCATCATTATATGGCAAACAAGAAAAAGCAACAACACTTTATTTTTATAGGTAAAGTATTGTGATTATTGCAACAGAATTCACAATGATTAGGCTATCTTCTGAAGCAACTGACTTGGGTGGGCCTGACTGACAGGTGGGTGGGCCCAGGCCCACCTGTAGTTACGTGACTGCTGAGCTTTCACATTCAAATAGCTCCGCATCACAGAGGCTTTCTGAGGTTTGCTTTCGAGGGCACAGCGTACCAGTACTCTGTTCTCCCATTTGGGCTGGCTTTAGCCCTACGCACTTTCTCGAAGTGCATGGACGCTCTCGCGCCCCTCAGACCAAGCGGGATGCGTAATCTCTATCTGGATGAGTGGCTGATTTTAGCGCATTAATGGGACACACTAGTCAGCCTTATAGACACACTGCTGGAGTCCCTAGAGCTATGTGTCAACATACAGAAGAGCATTCTTGCCCCGAGTCAGTCCATTACATATTTGGGAGTGTGTTTCAACTCGGTGGAGATGCGCGCCCGCCTCTTCAATGCGCTATTTCAGACTGGGCAGCTCTGTTCACTTGAAGGAATTTCAGAGGCTGCTGGGACTCATGGCAGCAGCAGCAGTGGTATATCATCTGGGTTTACTACACATGCGCCCGCTGCAGTTATGGCTGAAATCTCGAGTCCCATGGAGGGCGTGGACTTCGGGCCGTTTGCGCATCGCGGTCAAAGCTCTGAGGCTGTGGCGCAACCCGGATTTCTTTAGCCGGGGGGTTCCCCTGGGCTTGGTGATGTCGCCCATTGTGGTCATGACGGATGCATCGACTGCAGTGTGCGAAGGCATGCCGGCTACGGGGCTGTGGTCAGAACCTCCACCACTTGGAGCTGGAAGCAGTGTTCTTAGCGCTAAAGGATTTTCGGCCACAGCTATAACAGCGGCCTGGTACTGATTCGCACCAACAACATGTCTGTGGTTTTGTACATAAATCACCAAGGGGGGTGTGTGCTCCATGGTGTTGTACAAGCAGGCAGCGAATCTCCTGTTATGGGCGAACAGTCACTTTCTCTCCATCAGAGCAGCGCACATCCCTGGTCTCCTGAAATGCAAGGCGGACATGCTTTCGAGGAAGGGGATGTATCAAGGAGAGTGGAGGTTGCATGCTGAGCCAGTTCAGATGCTTTGGGGCTGCTTTGAACAGTGGAGGTGGACTTGTTCGTGACGAGCGAGAATGCGCATTGCCCGCTGTTCTTCTCTCTGTCTCACTCCCCGCTGGAAGGAGATGCTGTGACATCGTGCTGGCCAGCAGCCAGGCTGTATGCTTTTCCTCCGATCAAGACATTGCCGCTGGTGTTATGCAAAATCAGGGAGGAGGGGACTTCGGATACTCGTTGACCCGAACTGGCCGAACCAGCCTTGGTTCCAGGACCCCTGACAGAGCTGCTGGTGGCACCGCCCTGGCCGATCTCCATCAGGTAGGATCTGCTGTCTCAAACGAGTGGCTCGGTGTGGCACCCGAACCCAGAGATATGGAGCCTTCATGTGTGGCTGCTTCAGGGATATCAGAGGAGCTGACCGCCCTGCATTCTCGTGTGCTTGACATACTCTCGGAGGCGCGGGCACCCTCCATGAGGCGTTTGTATGCTCTAAAATGGGGAGTGTTTGTGGTGCTGTGATGTTCACATTGACCCGGCGGCTTGCTCCGTGTCGGATGTTCTGCATTTTCTTCAGTACAGGCTGGATAATGGTTGTCCGCCGTCAACACTGAAAGTCTATGTGGCCGCTATTGCCTCGTTTCGTTCCCCACTGAGCGGGCAATCGATCGGTAGGCACGTGCTGGTGGTGAGTTTTAAGAGTGCGAGGAGATTGCACCCCCTACGTCCGCCTTCAGTCCCTCCCTGGGACCTAGAGGTGGTGTTATTAAGAGCTCTTTCACAGCCACAATTCGAGCCTTTGGCATTCATTGCTATAAATGGATAATAATCTCTCAAGACTGCACTTCTTCTTGTCCTTGCTTCGGCTAAGCGCGTAGGGGGTTTACAAGCGTATTCTGTGGATAGCGATTGTATTTGCCTTGGACCCGGTGACTGTAGTGTCATTCTCCGGCCGAGACTGTGTTACGTGCCTAAATCGCTATCTACTCCCTTCAGAGTGCAGACTGTTTCACTGTCTGCCCTGTCTTCTGAGTCATCGACCTTGTGTGATGCTGACGCTCAGATTCGGTGTGCCCCGTCAGGGCTTTGAGGATTTACATTGACCATTCGGCCAGCTTTCGGCAGTCTGACCAGTTTTTCGTATGCTACGGTGGTTGTATGAAGGGCCGGGCCGTGTCAGCATATCAGTTGCTGTATCAAACTTTGAAAACCAGAGATGAAGATGCAATTCTAGTTTAGAGGACAGACTCAGTCCCATTTTAGACAGTTTTGGCCAAGCACTGCCAGAGAAACTTTAACAACTTCACTGTGTGACAACTAGCCCCATGTTCATATTCCATGACAGTGTAGTTATACCTAGAGAGGAGCAGAGCTGTATGCATTTATGAGCCGACATGTTGTAATTGTTGAGTTATTGTTACTGAGGTGAATGCAGTGAAATTAGATTTTTACATCCCAAACGATCAAAGCTGTTTGACAGATCACACCAGAAGACTACGAGGAGCGTGTGTTTCCTTCTCAGTCACGTCACGCCTGTGTTTCTGTCAATGATTCGTCTGCCCTGTAGATCACTCGTTTACTCATTAAAGTGCACATACTCTCACTTCACATGACTGCAGGAAAGTCTAGAAGCGTCTGTGATGCTGTCGGTGGGGTGATAGTTAGCAGAAGGCCCAAACCAGTGATGAAGATCTGATGCTGCTGCAGGGACGTCATACAGCTCTCTCACATGCCAGGGTTTCTTCAGCTCTTAAAACTGTATCAGAAAGACAAATTAAAGCCTTAGAAACTCTGAGCAGAAAGTCTTGAATTCATTAAATGTTACATGTATTGCAAAAAAAAAAAAACCTTCCTCTGTATTTTTTCATATAAATATGCAAATGTTCTTAAATCAAGGTACATTTATTTGAGATGCAAAATTAACATATGAAGTCTTGTTTCGTAAATTGAACCAAATAAAGCGAGTTGATGCTTTAAACAAGAACTAATATCTGAAATTGGGTATGAAAATGTGTTTTCCTTTCAGTGAAGCTGATTTTTTCATTGCCAGATATTTATTCTTGCTTTAAGCATAAACTCACTTCACTTTGATCTAGGGATGCACCGATACCACTTTTTCCAGTACTCGCCCGATACGATACTTTTATTTTTGGTACTTGCCGATACTTGCAATATTTTTTATTGCATTTGTACTAGGGGTGGCACAATACCACTTTTTAAGTTCTTAGTATCGAACAATACCGATACCGATCCGATACAAGCACAGTTTTTTTTTTCTATACTTAATAATATTTCTATATAATTTTTTTAAATTTCTATATTTCGATTATGTGTTGACCTGATCATCACTCTTTTGTGTTACACACAATCTACTAAATATAGACAACTTCATTATAAAAATAAATAAATAAATAAATAAAAAAATATATATAATCATAATCTATGAGAAAAATACTAGGTTAATGGATAATTCAGCAGCAAAAGTTAATCTACAAAAATGATGAGTTCACAATAGTTTTATAAAATCTAAACATTTAGAGAAAAAACGTTATTTAGTGGGGAACAAATGTAAGTAAATTGGTGTAATCTGGTAAAATGTTACACATTGCTCTTTGTATTGTAATATACATTCATGAAAAGTAAATATAATTATATATAAATATATGCAATAAATTAAATACATTTCTTTTACATTTATAGCACAGTAATGAGGCAGCAACATATGATAGATAAGACAGAACAAGAAAGGCTATTAACAATCTTTCATTGCACAAAAGTACCCTATTATAACATGAAAGGCTCCAATACGGAGCGGCACCAAGTGCTCATGCGCATCCCGTGCACAGAATGATGCGCTAGAAGCAACACAGAGTCACAGCACTCCGCATAGAGAAGCTCAAAGCACAAAGTGAAGAGGGTTTTGATGCGTAGTGTATTATATCTGTGCGATAGTTTATTGAGCCTTTTCTTTTAACAGTTTTACATTTTAGTTACTGTGTGCGTGAAGATCTATTCACAGTGCTCTGTACGCCAGTGTAGTTAACTCTAACAGACACCTGGTAGAAAGTAACATGATTTAGAATTAGCACTAAACTCCAGCAAGATAAAATCCTTATATGCAAAACCATTGATCTTTATCTGCAGATCAAGTTTCGTCGTCTTGACTGTCCTAACCGAACGCGATGCGCAGCTTGAACGCTGAATGGAGGATGACAGACAGCCGCCGCGGAGAGAAGAGTTTACGTGAACTTGAATTTAAGGACTTAAATATTCATCTGTACCTCACATTAAACTATGGAACGGCTTCAGAACACTTGAAATATAGTGTATGGAAACTTTATGGTGCTTTATAATGTTTTGTGCCTTTCGTGGGGCTTAACAATAACACAGAATAGTATACGCACTATATCGGATTTGGATCAGTCTTGTCTGACCGATACCCCGATCCGGCAGAAAGTGGCAGTATCGGAGCAATACCGATACTGAATATCGGATCGGCACACCCCTAATTTGTACATTTTTACTCCAGTCTTCAGTGTCACATGATCTTCAGAAATCATTCTAATATGCTGCTCAAGAAACATTTATTATTATTATTATTATTAATAATAATTAAAACAGTTGAGTACATCTTTCTCAGGATTCTTTGATGAACAGAAAGATCCAAAGATCAGCATTTATCTGAAATAAAAAGCTTTTGTAACATTATACACTATACCATTCAGAAGCTTGCAGTCAGTATCATTTTATTTTTGGGGGAAAAATTGTAGAAATTAATATTCTTATTTAGCAAGTATGCTTTATATTGATCAAAAGTGATGATAAAGACATTTATAATGTTAGAAAAGATTTATATTTCTGATAAATGCTGTATTATATTTCTGCTGAACTTTCTATTCATCAAAGAAACCTGAAAAAATACTACTCAGATGCTTTCAACAACAACAACAACAACAACATAATAATAATAATCAGAAATGTTTCTTGAGCAGCAGAGCAGCATATTATACTGATTTCTGAAGATCATGTGACACTGAAGACTGGAGTAA